AGTTTTCATAAATCAGTGCACAAAATTAGAAAAGCAAGCACAAAACTATCACAGCTGGAGGCAGATGCAGCAACACACAAGGATTTCACTAGCCATTTTGACAATTCTGGACATGAGATTCATTCCAAATCACAAACAGATCTTTTATGGCCTTTCTCTCCTTACTGTGCTTCCTCAGTCAACATGACAATGGAATATTTTAGGCCCAGGGAATTTAATGCAAAAACATATCAATACACATTAATACGCACAAAATATATACATGTATTATATTTGTTAAACATAAGAATCTTATTCAATACACTATTCACCTCCTAACATTGGTTTCCTGCTTACTCACTTTCTCTGGATATATCTTCCTCTTCTCTGAATGATTTCAAATCATTATACCCTCACCAAATCTTTTCTCACCACAACTTCCTTTCCTTTTTTCTTCTGGTTTATCTTTTATTCTTCCTCTTTTAGTTGCCAGGAACCAGGCTACAATTTCTTGTTCAGATATATCCCTCATTTGTACAATCTTGACTAATTCTTGACAAATCTCTTACAATGGTTCACAGAAGAGCTATAACTTCAGAGATCTTGTTTTACATGATCTCTAAGTCTCTAGATCATCTTAAAGTACTACCCAAAGACAAGATATAACCACCAGTGACTTCTGCTTGGTTATCTTCTATTTTAAAGTATAGCACTTGAGAAAGCAACATTCATAATTTAAATCCTTTACCTTATGGAAGCTTCCATAAAAGATTTTCTTTACTTCATTATTATCAAAAGTTACAGTTTGAACTTCTCCTCTTGTATTCTTGTTAAAGAATGACAGCACTTTGCTGGCAGCTGCAATAAATGAAAATAGCATGTTTCATTTCACATGTACTACTGAAACCACCATCCTAAGATACACTATCTAGACAAAATCTAGTTTACCACTCAATTGGGTAAACACAGATCATAGATGGTCTTAATGACCTCTAAGTACGTAGATGTATTTTCCTTTGATTTTAGGGTTAATACCAAAGTTGAAACATAGCTTAGATGAATGATTCTTACTTGAATAAAATAATAGATGTTCACAGCTTAAAATAAATATTTTAACACTAAAAATATATAATCCTTGTACCATGTAGAAATGCTTTGGTTTGGAAATATTTGGGAAAAATGCATGCAAAGTAATGTAACATATAACTGCTCAATGCAAGAAGTATAATCATCCTTACGATCAAGCACAACTCCAACTTGTGGTTTGTAATCTCTGTCTGTAATCTGCCAAATTGCAAAAGGCTCATTGGGGGATTCAGGCAGAAGACGGAATAACAGAATGATAGTGTATGCCTGGGGCAATCCTTCTGGGTGAATCTCCCTGTTAAGACAATATGAAGACATTTTTTCACATGGAAATGCACGAGGAAAATAAGATCTTCATCATTTGCTCTTTTTCAAAGAAAAGACACAAGAGTGACAGGGAGAACACAGTGTTTAATGGAACAGAACATTTTGACTGCTCTCTTAAATAGAAAAGAGCTTTGTGATAAAAAACCACTATGAGATTTGTTTGAATGAATTCACAGCCTGTGTTCAGTTGGTCCTGGCACCATGGTTATAGAGGAAGGTAGAATATGACCAAGAACCCTTGGGTATGTATTCCTGTGGCAAGATTCTGTATAAATGACACATATTTTAAATTCCTTAATGACAAGCACAGGAAAAAAAAAAAAAAAAAAGGACTGCAGTTCTATTATTTGTTTCATCTGGCCTGTTTCAGCCAGGCAACAGCACTTAACTATTGCTGTCACAGAATCATAGAATCAGCTGGGTTGGAAAAGACATCCAAGATCATTGAGTCCAACCCTACCATGGTTACTAGACCATGACACTTAGTGCTACATTCAGTCTCATCTTAAAAACCTCCAGGGATGGTGAATCCACCACTTCCCTGGGCAGCCCATTCCAATGCCTAATTACTCTCTCCATAAAAAGTTTCTTCCTAATTTCCAGACCTTGAGTCTGTGCCCTCTTGTCCTACTGTGGGTTGCCTGGGAGAAGAAACCAACCCCCACCTGACTCCAACCTCCTTTCAGGGAGTTGTAGAGGGTGATAAGGTCTCCCCTGAGCCTCCTCTTCTCCAGGCTAAACAACCTCAGCTCCCTCAGCCTCTCTTCTGTGTCCTTCAGGTACAAAGTGAAGGACATATTTAACGTCTTCTCTGCAACTGGTGGTGCGTTTGGGCTCCAGCTCATTCTTTAGTGGATCATGTTTAAATTTGTGATGTTTGGACTCTTAGATATTAAAAAGCAGAACGCTAAAAGTAAATTAAAACATGCATTAAATGGCCTCCAGTATTTTCTGACAGGAACGGGAGGGAATGCAGGAAGGGAACTGAAAGAAAGGAAGTGGCTTCTTCTTCTCCTTAACCATTATAATGGTGCTCAGAAGGGGATTTGTCTACATGAACATAAATATAAAACCCTTAAAATGAAGAGAGGAGCTGCTCTGTATGTTAGGCAAAGCTTATGTACCCATACAGTTATGGACACTGCAATAAAAAACCTATAACTAAGTCAACAACACCACACATCACAGTGCAGTAATACAAATATTAAAGTAGATACAGCAACACTACTTATAACTCAGATACCAAGTTACTTCAGATATGGAAACAACTATGCCATTAGGATCAAGATGCTTTTATTGTTTTGCTGACTCAGTTTAAAGTGAGGGTTTTTTTCTGGATTCTCATGAAAAACAAGTGCCTAGAATATTTTGATAAGTCTGCTCCACCTCTTATAGCAGACATTGGACTATGTATCTCAACATTCTTAAAAGATGAAATAAATAGGAAGTATGTCTTTTTATTGTCTTTTATCATCTTACTCTGCTAAATGCAAGGTTTATCTTCATGTAAGAGAGTTGCAAAACTAGGATTATCTGTACTTCCCTAGATTGTAAAAATCCAGGCTGTCAGAGAACTACCACCCCCATAGCCATAAAGGCATGCCAGCGCACTCAAAAATCCTCAAGTCCTCCACTTTTAAAGTTGTGATCTGAGAAGGCTGGTAAAAAGAATTATTTCTTCATAAATCTCAGCTCGTATGCCTTTGATCTGATCTTTATCCAATCTGGCAGGACTGCAGAAGATTTCAAAGGCCTCTATGAAAAGAAGATTAAATTTCCTTACATTTCATAAGAACAATGGGCTATCTTTAGGCACCTCCTCTGACCCAGAATAACTCTTTCTGAAACTTACTTAAACAGATGGAAGAGAAACAAATGCATTAAGAGAGGGAGGTACTGTTCCTCTCTTAGTAAAACTAACTGCTAACTAAGTATTTTTGTTCTTTGTGAAAAAATGTTGGCAAGAATGACCATCTATTACCCCTCCATAACCAAGCTTGAAGACCACAGGCCCTTGAAAACTCTGCTCCATTTGCCAAATAAGGCAAGTCAAGTAGAGGAGAAACTACCCTAAGTCAATGGCATCCATGTGCTGCCTATTGCAGTAGGAATGTCTCTGAAACATGTGATGCTAATTCCTCCATACTGAAACCATTTTTCTCCAGCAATGTGGAGCTCATTGCACTGAGGCTGCTGTTCAACTGCCTAAGTATAAACTGTGGATTATGTGCAAGTCGAATAGTTAAGAAGCATAATCTCAAAGAAGAACAATAAGCAACTGGATTAATAGTGAACAGACTGCAAAGGAAGAAATAGATTAGCATTTAACGAGAACAGTGATGGATGCTCTTTGGAGTATATCTCTCAGAGTTCAGTAAAAAGAACATCAAATTCCATAAAACACTAATGCTATCATCTATAAACCCTGTTAATCCTTCCTCATCTGCTCACCCCAAACATGAGTCTTTCAGGTTTACTCACCGGATTGGCTGGCTGACAAAGGCATTTTTGTGGAGTCTGTATGCTACATAGCTTGGGAAAGAGCCTGATTCCAGGGATACGCCTTGTACAGAAGCAAAATGCTTCTCTGTTAGATTATATGATTCCAGCATCTTGAAACCTTTAAGTCCAGAGAGAAAATAAAAAACAGAAACACTGTAGAGCTGTTAAAGACAAAAATGAACCTAAGCCAAAATATTAGACAGCTACTTACCAGGTGAAGTGTATCCCTCCAAGTAAATAAGGGGACAAGCTGAAAGACACAAAAAATATAATTCAAAACTAGAAAACCTAATTGATACGAACATACATATACTTCAGAAAGTTTTATTACCACGAAGCCTGTGCTATTATTAATTATGTGTCAACTTTTGTAACATTTATCATACTGTGTCCTACACACTGTGGTAGATGTACTGTCATAATCTTTATTCATCACTTTTAGTAGGGTATTTCTACTGTGAGGAATTGTATGGAATAACAAATGAACCCCCAAATATTTGAAGAGCATAACTCATAAGAAGAAAGGAGGACAATGACACAGTCTTTCCATGAATATTTAAGGCATGAGTCAAGCTGCATAATAGCTGTCAGATTCACAAGGAAAAACTGCATATTTATGTAGCTCCTCAGTAGCCAGCAGATGAGGCAGTTGGGGAGCACACAGTTGCACATGACAGGCCTGAGAATGTCTTATTTTTGCCATAGAAGGATTTCATTCGAGTAAACTACTGAACTTTATTTAGATAATTTTAAAACAGCATCACACACTATGGCTGTACCTCTTTAGCACCACTATTCCAGTTGTAAATAAGAGACCTGTTGTGCCCTGCAGTTCACACTAGACATCATTCTAACTCTCCTTAAAGAGCATAAGTTGTCACTGACTATTTTCTTTCTGTTATACCAATACTTCTGAAATGCAAGATGAGATTACATAAAATACAATACCCACTTCAAAATTTTTAAAAAGCAGCTTGGTCCCTTAAACAGCTCCAGGAGAACCCCATGCTGGAGCAGGTGGATGCCTGAAGGAGGCCGTGTTGGAAACCCATGCTGGAGCAGGTTCCTGGCAGGAGCAAATTTAACCCCAGGAAGAAGGGAGAGGTGGGGGGGAAGGTGTTTTAATACTTGATTTTATTTCTTATTATCGTACTCTGATTTCATTGGTAATAAATTAGTTTTTTCCAAATCAAGTCTGTTTTGCCTGTGGCAGTAACAGCTGAGTGACCTCTCCCTGCCCTTGTCTCAAACCATGAGTCCTTTCTTATATGTTCTCTTCCTGTTCAGTCCAGGAGGGGAGTAATAGACCAGTTTTGGTGGGCACCTGGTGTCCAGCCAAGGTCAACCCACCACTCAATTGTAGCAGTATATAACCAAATGTATTAATTTGGGAATAGGGAAACCAATGTCTTCTACTCACTTGAGGTAGCTGTCTCACACACAAAGGTGACAAGGTTATCTTGAATCTTTTCAAAGGCATCAAAGTCATCAACAATAAATACATGACGCTCACTGGGCTTGCTGGCAATCTTGGCCAGCTCATTGTAATCTACATCAGCCACACCAACCACGAAGACACTGAAGCCTGTGAAAATAACACTTGTAACTTGAAATGCAGTAAACATACAATACATTTTCCAGGTTAATATTTCACAAACCATCTCTGTCATTAACTTCTCAGGCTCTACTTAGTCCTTTATCTTGCCTTCATTATGAGCATACATTCTGGATAACCTTTCACCTTGTGAAAGCTCAGAAGGGTTTACAGTGTTTTTTACATCTTTCTTTCAAAACTTTCTCCTCCTTCATTGATTTTTATTGGGCATTATCCAATCTCATGCAGCCTTGGCTACATAGTCCCCCCATTCTTTAATACAAAATGTACAATTCTCTCAACTCTACAGTATCTTAAACCTGTTCTGCGGCCAAAATATCTGTACAGACCCTTAGTTATCCAGTGGTCTATCTGTTGCCACCTCCTGCATTTCATGTTTCTCAGTTTGTCTTTCACTTTCTTGTGGTGGTATTCACCTCATCAATTTTTACTTTACAAATTAGCAAGAAGTCTAAGGTAATTGACTAGTCTTTCTCTATAATTTCTAGACAGACATGGTCAAATTTAGAATGCAGTTCATCTCATCTCCCTAAGATGTTGACTTCAAGATAAAAAAAAGTCATTGTCTGTAGATGCCTATCTGTAGGTCTCTTCACTAGCCACAAAAGGACCCTACATCATGACCTTAGACTAGACATTTAGTTGTCAGATGTCTTAAGTCAAATGAGAAGAAACCAGACCCTAGATTTCAATCATATCAATCGGTGTAAATTTCATTGATGAGAAACTTCACAGACATTGGAAATGCTGGTTGGAGGCTGAAAGCTCCCTTTATTTACTTTTTTTT